ATGGGGAAGTGGATGGGCGACCTTTGGACCGACGGCAATTTGGAGCACTCGACGTACGGAGCTTTGACATTGGGGGTAAGGGTCGGCTATTCAGAGCGCAAGCGGGACTTGGACTTGGCCACGGCTGCCGAGAAGGAGGCGAACGTCGACAGGCAGATGCTCGGAGTGGACGCGGCCCTTGCGAAACTGAGGGCGCCTTTCCTCGCTTTCCCCGCTGCGGAGGCCTGTCAGGGCATGTTTCTGGCGCTTCGTTTTCGCTGGTCGTTGTTGGTGCTCGTCGCAGACAAGGCGTCTGGCAAGTCCAATTTCGCGGAGAGCTCGTTCGACTGGCCGTGCGCCCTCGCACTTGAAGACGCCACGCACAAAGACTCCGACAGGGACGGGCACGACGGAATCGCGCTGGATAACGTGAACACGTGAAAGCAGCTACGGAGCTGGCGGGCAGACTTACAGGCCAAGAGTGCCAACAGCAAGGGTGGGCAGACTGCAGCCAATGTCTACCTGTGCGCTCAATACTTTTTCGGAGATGCAGTAGCAGCGACTGTAGACTGAGACGCCCCGACGCTGAACGAGCAGACCCTTTCCCACAAGGGCAGGTCCAAGCGGCCACAGAAGACCTGCGTCTTCGCGCGCCTGGCGGCGGGCGCCGCGTTCCACGAGGGCTCGACGCCCCCCCAGAAGCGCGTCAGGAAGCAATTTTCTCCTCACGCTCAAACTGTCAAGCGCCGGCGTTCAGCGCAGGCTGCTGGAGCGGCGCCGCGCCCTTGACCGCCCGAACTGAGAGAGATGAAGCGCAGCCGACAAGACTGCCACCGTGTTTCGGAGCACCCTAGCCCGCCCGCGGCGAAATCATGCACTGCGGAAGCGCATAGGAAGCCAGCATTTCTTGTAATTTTCAGCTTCGCGGAGATCGGCCAGAAAAGGCCCGCGACGGTGCGGGTATATAATGGAGAGGTTATGTGGTATCTTGGAGGCACATGTTGCTGCTGAGACGTTGCATTGGTGTCGCGTTCGTCATGCGTGCACTTTGCGTTTGACTGCGCTGCCATTGCGCTACCATCACCTCGCCGTGTACTTGGCATTGTGTTCGCATTGCTTTTGCATATATTGGCGTTGCTTTGTCATTGCTTCGGCGTTGCGCTGTGGTTCATGGCGGTCGCACTGGCGTGGCGCTTGTATTTGCGCTGGCAGTGCAATTGCATCGCATTGGCATTGCATCTACATGCATCGGCAATGTGTTGGCGCGTTGACATTGCACGGGCATTGACCGCACCCTCACTATCGGTTGGTGATTTCGCCCGCCTCGCGCTCTCGAGGTCAGTGGCCGTTTTGGTGCAGGCTCCCTTTTGCTCGCCAATTCCGGCTTCCGTTGGCCGCCTTGGACGCAGATGGCAGGCTGTCTGCATGCGGACACTGAGGGAGAATCCTGGTTGGCGCGGGGAGAGGGGGGCGGTTTCGGGAGCCCCGCGAAAAACGTCGGACAAGCAGGGCCAGAGAGTCGTGAAGTGGGCGCTTGAAAACCGCGGCATCACCAAAGTCTCCGTGAGCCGCCTCAAGAAGCAGTTCCCATGTTTGCGGAGAGTGTATGGCACGCTGGTTGGAGAACGTCTCGCCGAAGCCGATTTGGCTTGGATGCGGCGACGCAACAAGTGGTTGGGCAACACCGCGCCGCTCGCGTGGCATACTGTGAGGGCGTCAAGCGCAAGCGCCAGGCCACGCTGGATAGATGGGCGTATGTGGACGGCACAACGTACTATCTGGACGAGACGGCAGGTGAACATGAGCACGCGCTCCGCAAATCAGCGGGCTCCCACGTATGGAGGATGCCTGACAACCGCGACGCTCTGCACGAAGATTGTGTGGACCCCCTCTAACCACAACAAAGGTCAGGGCTTGCCTGCGAGGGTCTGGGGGATGCTGGCGACTAGCGTGCTCCACGTGCATGTCTTAGACGAGGGCGAAGTCATGGATCGATCTATGTGCGTGGATCTGATAGAAGACAAGTGTGATGAGTGGAAACTCAACTGCGACTTCCTCGCTTGTGATTGCGAGGGGTGCTTGCGGACGCCAGAGGCCCTGCGCGCCTTGAACTGCCGCGGCTTGAAGCTGGTTGATGACTGCCCAAAAAAGTCCCAAGATTTCAACGCCATCGAGACTTCGTGGCATGTCTTACGTGAACGACTGGATGGGACGTGCCCAGTCGAGTTGGAATCCAGAGTCGCGTTCGTCAGGCGTTTGCGGGCCGCTGTGCGATGGGCCAACGCCCGCAGGTCGGAACAGCTCTGGTACCTTTCGACCAACCAGGAAAAAAGGGCGGCATATCGTCTGAACTCCACCCCGCCTGGGGCGCGCAATACGTGGTGAATGCTCCCAGCTCGGCACGGACTTGTGCCTTTGGGGTATGTGTTGGGCCAATGCGCAATCAAGACGGCCGTCGCGGTGGCGCACGGTGGGCCCCCGCCCTCACTCGCGGGAAGCTGCGCATCGAGCCGCTGCCGGACGATTCCCCTGGGGGGGACCCTGGCAGGGGCCGCGATCGCGGCGGCTAAAGTGCGCGCGTCGCTGAATGTCCGCTTCCAAAGAAGCGGCAAGCAGCCGCGCGTGCTCTTCACGGACCGCGGAAATGGCTTCTACAACGCGGGTTCTGGGGCCGTCGCTGAGGAGCACCGCGGGGCGCTGAGGCGCCGCGACCTCAATGCTTTCTTCTCCCTGGACGCCTCGGCGCAGCCCGGCAAGCTGCAAGACGTCATGCTGCGCGAGACTGCGGTCTCGTAGATGCGCGACAAACTCACCGAGACGCTCGCCAAGAAATGCTGGGCGAAAACAATGGGGGCGCACCGGGGCCGCCCGAAGGCCTGCGCGGCGCAGATCGCCAGCGCGCGAGACATCGAGGGCCTTTGCCGCGAGTTACAAACCGCCACAAGGGAGACCGCCTCGCAAAATGGCGCGGTCCCTGTGAAATTCCGACGCAAGGGAGACCGCCTCGCAAACTGATGCGGTTCCGCGTAGCATTGTTTCACTTGGGCTGCATGGAGCGAAAACCACAATCGAACCCAACTTTCGCATTTGTCCGGGGAGAGGCCCAATGGGGGCCCCAAGAGCGCCACAAGAAGAGGCTCCGCGAGGACCTCAAGAGAGCCCAAGATGGCTCCAAGAGAGATTTTCGTAAAAACGCTTCCAAGGCGGTTGTTGCACAGCACGTGTCTACGCTTCCCTGGTCAAGGCAACTCGCCTCGCGATCTTCTTTTGGATGGGTTCGTGGCGGTACTTGTCGGTCAACAGGCTCGCGAGGCGGGCCGAAGGCCGCCCGTGCGCTAGTCGAGCCGCGACCAGGCACCAGGGAAAAAAAGGCAAGCGAAACGAGCGAGCGGGAAGCCACTCAGAAAGGGCCAGAACCGATGCCCCCAAACCCGGCGGCGTGGAAAGCCCGGCGGCGACCGGCAAGTAAGCGCGGCCAAAATGGCGAGGCGGCGCAAAAATAAACGCGCAGACAGAGGTCGATCGCTCGGTGCGAGTCAGACAAACAGCACAATCAGAGACGAACTAGACCGACAGGCACGCCCGGACGACATCCGTGCTGCAGGCGACGCAAATGCCAAAACATCGCGTCGGCGCAAAGGTGAAGAGGGGCAACCTCATCACCGACAAGACTGCAAACGGCAGTCAAACCTGTAACGCTCTTCGAAAGCGAAGTCCACGCAGGAGAACGTCAAGGAGCGTGCAGAGCCACGCATGCCGAACCCGAGGTCCAGGTACCGCAAACTGGGTAGTCGAAGCCAATCTGGCACCAATCTGGCAGGCCCAATCTGGCAAACGGGGGCAATCTGGCGAGGGGGCCAACGCGAAACCAGTCTGGCGAATAACCCAAATCCTCCAATATGGCCAAGCCAGATTGGCCCTTGGGGCCCAATCCAGTCTGACAGTCTGGCCTTCGACTACCCAGGCAAATAGGCAGTGTAGCGAGAGACCCACTGGAACCTCTCCGTCATCAGTAGGGGCCGACACAAGCCAGGAGCAGGCCAGGGGGCACCTGACCTCAAAGAATGCGACGCAGGACCATTCCCTGCGTGAGTCCTTGCATGAGTTCCAGTGCACCTGAACGCCATCAGGAAGCGGCAGTGGGCAGCGCGCCCCAGCCGCCAGGGAAGAACCCTGTGAAACAGGAGGGAGAGCACCCACCCCAGTGCAACGGCTGCTGCTGCCGCATAAGGATGCAGGAGGAAAGGGGGGGAACTGCGCGCCAGGCACGGTAGGCACCCCGGTGTGGCAGCTGACCTCCGTAGCATTAGGAAGCGCACGCCTGGCGCGCGGTATGAGAAGATGGGGGGAGAAACATGCCTCGAGCAGTTGATGCTGACTGTGCCAGTCGTGGCCGCCCCATTTTGTCCGCGCTGACTATGCCAAACCTGACTGTGCCAGCCGTGGCCATGCCAACCCTGACTGCGCCAAATAAGCTCCCGTGGAAAGAGAGCGCTCATAACGGCGCCTGCCGACGTCGAAGTCCTTGCGCCGTAACTGTCAGCAAAGCATCGAAGTCCCGCTGAACCCTTTCGGCCATCAGCAGGGGGGCCTCGCCGCCCCCTCCCCGCGCGAAACTTGCGCGAGATCCAAGCTGACGGAGGGCCATCCGGCAGCGGCATTGGCGGCGACTCCAGCCGCGAGGGAAGATGGGGATATCCCAGTGAAACAAGAGAGGGACAGTCAGCTAACCGCTGAAGCAAAAGGAGAAGGAGGAGGAGAGCTCACCACAACCCTGTGTGCACTGACGCGCACGCCAGGCGATCTGCATCGGAGCTCACCTCAGTAAACCCGCCACTGGCACCAGCTTGCAGTTGTTCGTCACGCGAAGTCCCGGGTAAAGCTGGGCTCCTTCAGCCGCGAAATAGCGTGCAATCGCGGATGATGAGGTCTTCCATTGGGCTAGCACGCCGCCCCATATGCGCCAGCGGGCGCAGGCAATGCATGTTTTCTTGTTTACCCGCGCACGAATTGCTGCAAGAGCCCGCAAGGAGGCGCCGTCGATGAAACATTCCAGGCGCTCTTCAATGGGACGCTTGGCAGGGGCAATCACGGTGGGCTGCCAGTGCGAAGCCGTCGTTAAGCCGCAGTGACTGCGCAGGAGGCAGGAAGAGAAGGAAAGCAGGGGAACGCGGCTGACCGCCGCATGCATTGGAAAGAGAGTTAGCAGTGTAGGCGCGTGGCGCTACTAGGTGCAGCACGTGCCCGGTGTGATGCCAAAACCGCATCTCAGCGAAACTGGATGGTGCCCCGCACTCGGTGTTACTGTCGATGCCGTTTCTCTTTACTGAGCTGGAGGTGTTACTGACTGCCGTGGCCCTGTCAGTTGGGCTGCGAAAGTTGACCTCAGCGCGCGTGGGCTGGTCGGCGCGGTGCACGTCGTAACCTGC